AATGAGTATATCTGCATCTATACATTTTGCAACCATACTTTACATTTTTAGGTGTAGCACAGCTGCAAATGTAATGTATACAGTGGTCAGTTCCAGGGGAGTTCCTTTGGATGCCTGGGAACAACCCCCTCTGCCACTGTTACTTTCCCCTTCCCCAAAGGTAAGATATTGCAGTAGTGGCTTGCAAGACTGAAGAGAGCAGCGCTGCTGGCATCAGCAACCTTGCAATGCATCCTAGTCCGGAATCCAAAGAACCACAACCAGGATCTCAAGAACCATGTAACTATTCCCGCCTCTCCACCACTTGCTATACAGTGGAACCTTGGTTCCCGAATGGCTAAGTTGCCAAACAAATCAACTCCCGAACGCTGCAAACCCAGAAGTAAGTGTTCTGGTTTGTGAACGTTTTTCAGAAGCCGAATATCCGACACGGCTTCCACTTGAGTGCAGGAAGCTCCTGCAGCCAATCAGAAGCTACGCCTTGGTTTTCGAACACTTTTGGGAGTCAAATGGATTCCCGGAATGGATTAAGTTTGAGAACCAAGGTATCACTGTATTGCAATCCACTTCTGAAACAAAAAGGAGTCCTAATAGCACCTTGTATTGGTGTAATTGTAGGAGTCTACTCTTCAAAAAAATACAAAAAAAACCCCACAAACAAAATCCAACTAGACAAATTGACAATACCCCTCATCAGAATGGAGGAGGGGAAAAATGTACCCCAAAGAGCCAGTCAGGGGACATCCAAATTCCTATTCAGCCCTCATAAAGTGTGACTGGTTAATCCCATACTACTACAGAGCAGGTGGGCAGAATTGCACAAAATGCAACAGATGCCAGTCCGAGGGTGCTACTGCCCTTTGTTCCCCTAATGTGCTTCCTCCTAATGGGATATGGGGCAAACTCATGGGGCTCCTGCTGTAAATGTGGGACAATCCTTGTGGGAACTGTTGGCTGCTTCTGTAAATTGATTTGATTACATCTCACCCAAATTGCAAAAAAACAGTTTGCACTATGGCATACCCTACATCATTTCACAGATGAAAATAGGGATATTCTTGTGCACTTCTACTCCCACAAGTATTAGTCACAACCATTTGCACTAGAAACACATTGCTGAAGGCTCTTTTCCACCTGGTGTAGTGGTTAAGAGCGGTAGTCACGTAATCTGGGGAACCGGGTTCGCGTCTCTGCTCCTCCACATGCAGCTGCTGGGTGACCTTGGGCTAGTCACACTTCTTTGAAGTCTCTCAGCCCCACTCACCTCACAGAGTGTTTGTTGTGGGGGAGGAAGGGAAAGGAGATTGTTAGCCGCTTTGAGACTCCTGAAGGGGAGTGAAAGGCGGGATATCAAATCCAAACTCTTCTTCCAAACTCTTCTGGTGTACTGATTGCCCAGAATGTGTTATTTTAGCCAAAACAACACAAGAAAAACAAAATTGTGTTTTGTGAAATGGCAAATGGCAAATGATATGAGCTTTGTTATTAATTACTCCCATGTGTATTAGAAACAAGATGTAGCTGAAAGGCTTGACCCTAAATGACCACTTTCATCACCTTATTTGAAGGTTGGAGGACTAGTCCTGCAATTGTTGAAGAAGAACATCTATATGGTGCTGGAAATCTTCATGATGGCTGCTGTTTCCCCCCCCCCCACAATTCTTCTGTATATTTCTATGTCGATCTAGCATTGTTTCCAGGAGACTAATGGGAAATAAAAATGGTGACCAGCTGCCACCACTGGGTTACAGCAGTAAATCTGATGAACACCCAAATGCACATCCAAGTGTCAATGTTGTGCACCCACCCTGCATTGCTTTTAATGGGGTGTGAATTGCAATGCACTTCTCCAGTCTCATTCTGGCACATGAATGCCTGTTTTTAAGTACAACTAAAGCCATGTAGGGCAAAGTACAGGAATCTAAATAGCTTGGGAATCAGGTGCAGAGACAGCTAGGTTCATTGATTTGTGAATGCATATTAGAAAGTCAGGAATTAAATACAGTTGTAGACTCATAATAGCCATCATTTTACCGACACATAAATCTACCGATAAAATCATAAAATACCAAATATGTATAGATTACATGCTAAAATGATCTATATAGCCTGGACTCTTCACAAAAGAGCAAGGAAAGTGTTTTAAATTACCGTACAACTTTCAATTACACATATTGAATCAACTCTTGATGAATTATAATGTGAACTTCTTAGAAAATGACGGCTAAGAAAACAATTTGATTATATCCCCTTCTTTAGCCCACAAATAAAAGCAAACTATTCTCCACTCAATAAGTGGATAATTTTTGTTTATCAACATACCTTTCTCTCAAAATTCTGCAATGCTAAAACTTGTTTCTTTTCTCTGAATTCACTTGTGCATGGAAATATTTTAGTGGGCTGGTTCACTTTGCTCATGTACACACATCAAATAATTTGAATAGGAGGATGAATAATCACAGATTAAATACTGCAGGAAGACCTGTCTTCACTCTGGTGCACCATGAGGTATAGAAGCCAGTCAGAGGAGGGATCTGAAGATGGTCCAGAATGCAACAGAAGGCATCTAAGAGGGGCCCAGCACAAAGGAAATGCAGATAAGCAAGGGTTAAAAGCAAAAACCACTCAATGGGTACAAAATGGAAGAGACAAAACGAATTGTGAGGAGGAGGAAGCCCAGAGAAAAAAGAAATGGGAAGCCCAAAAAGCAGGAAAGCGAGTGGAATGCACCTTGGACTGGAGTGCTGAGACCATGGCTAACTGGGCCCATGGATGGAGGCAAAGGGTGTGGTAACAAGATGCTGCCATATTGTTCTTACTGGGAATCCCAGATAAAAGAAAATAATGCTTAGCTGCAAAAAGCAAGGAGGCTCCTGGTACAACTCTGTGCCCTAAGAAGCTGGAAGGCAACCAGGGACAAACCTGGTATGTGTTAATCCATAATAAATCCCAGGTTTTGGAGGACTTCCGGGGTGGCGCCATCGGCAATGGCGGACTCCCTCTGAACTGGAGGGACTAGCTCCGCGGGAAACGGGTCTTCTCCGCTACGGCGAAGCGGGGACCCTTTCAAAAATCACAGGCGGATGAAGCCTGTGACCATGGGACTCAGTGGGCACCTTTAGCGCCCCCCCAACTCGCTAAGGAACCCACTAACGGGCTCCGAAGTGAAGAGGGGGAAGTGGCGCGGTGCTGTGAGTCAACTGCTATTTCCGTGGAGCGAAGCCGCATAGCCGTTGCCAGAGAGCGCTGCCTTTTTCCTGGGACAATTTGGACTCTAAAATAAGCACCCGTGAGTACTTAGACATTGAACAACTGGACATTAGATGGGGACTTGCGAGCAGAAAGGAATTGGATCTTAAAAATCTATTTCAATTTGGTACGGAACGGGAAGGTCTAAACAGGAAGTCAGCCTTCCGTTCTTCTGTAGACAAAATAAAGCAAAGACAACGTAAACTAGAGCTCAGAAAATCACTTTTAAAGGACTGGATTTCATCATTTAAACTTGTGGAACCCCCCTTCGACAGCAGGAGAAGAAGGGGGATCTTTTTTGGACTGTTTAAAGTGAGTTTAAAGTAAAGCAACTTTCCTACGTCCTGATCCTGGAGCGGGGTGTCAGGACTGACGTTTGAAGTTCATTGACCAGAGACAAACGTTTTTGACAGATAGCTAAAAGAAGAGAAACATAGTGATTCCATTGTTTCCCTTCGCATTTCAAAGGAACAAATATTGACAAAGTATCTCAAAAAGGGAAACTTTGTTGCAAGATCAAATAGAAGTTTTCCCATTAGAGGGAGACTGTGAAACTGTAACCAACTCCAGGGAGCCGGCAGCTGTTTACAGATTACAATCGTGGGAATAGGCATTTGACCTTGCAGGACAATGTATTCAGAAGCTTTGTTGTGTGCTTTCTACAAAACAAATGCCCTACTGGAACAGTTACATGAGAAGGTGAATTTGATGACGACTTCGACTAGAAATTTTGAACAGGCAGTGGGAAATTTTGAACAGACAGTGGGAAAATATGTGGAGCCCACCCAGGAATTAAATCAGGAGTGTGTCCTGACAGAACAGGCCCAACAGGAATATGAGTTTTTGGATTTGACAAATGAACTTGGAAAAAGCCAGATTTGGAAAGGAAAAGTTTGGTTTGGCTTGGAAATGGGGGGCTGGATTGACCCCCTTTGCTGGGATGTTTGGACTTTTCAAATCTGGCAATGGGCCGTGAGATGTTTGGGATTGTGGGGGCTCTTAATTTTGGAGGGTCTTTGAAACATGCTTTTAAATACCATATGGAATTCAGTGCTGAATATGGAAAAGGGGCTGATCTGTCAAGAAGGGTTAAAAATATTGCCAAGCTGGAGTTACCACAAGCAGGAGACAAGGGAAAATACAGTTACAAATATGAAGAAGAGCTGCGAAAGGGACATGGAAGAGACTTGAGGGCCTCGGATATAAGGTTGCCAGGTTAATGGGCCAGATCGATGGGATAATAAGGACTGACAAAACCCGGAACCAGGAGGAAGGGACATTGGATGAAGATTAGATCTGTTTGTATTTCTTTTTTCTACCATTAGAACTGTTTTATAAAATTGATGAATGTCAGAAAAATGTTGGAATGAAATTACTCGGCTTTAGTAAAGATGTTTAAAGAATTATGAAAGAATATTATGGTTATGAGAAGTTGGTAAGGATAAGATTTAAGTTTTAAGCTTTAAGGTTTATTTTCTTATAGAAAGATAAGATTAAAACTGTTTAGGGTAATGTAATGACAGAATAAAATGAAATATGGAAAGGATTTGCTGGGATAATTAATAACTAGGATACAAAGAAAGGGAGGAGGAGGAGGTCAAAGAAAGAAGGTAATGACAGTTGAGGATTCGAGAATAATGAATTTGTTTTTAAATGTTCTTAAATTGTATTTTTGTTTTCTTTTTTTTCTGTATTTTTTCTTTTTTTTTGAATTTGTATTTTTATTTTGTATTTTCTTCTGCTTTTATTTTATGTTGTAACACTTTGGAAATTTCAATAAATATTTTATAAAAATAATAAAAAAAGAGTATTTATCCTGAGGTATGACTGTACTCAAGGATGATCACATGGAGAAAATTCAGTAGCAAAACACAAAATGTGAGCAGGTCTATAACGACATCTGTGAATTGATCCTAGTAAAAAAAACACACCAAAAAACAGGCCTCTCAGTCTGGAAGAGTAAAATGGGGAGGGGGGCAGGATATCATGTGTGTTGCCCTGAGGTCTTTGAGCAAAGGGAAAGATAAAAATGTTTTAAAAGTGTAAAACAATGATCTGTGATGACCCATTCATTCAGAGTCATCACTCGATATTGCAGGAACAGAGTAATAATGGACATTTGTCTGAGAAGGCACTTAAAGTGATGAAATAGTCTTCAATTGATTTAAATCAATCCCAGCTATTTATGCAACATGAGCTTTACTTTTTAAAGTGTATATACACTCCTTTGTATCATTCTTTTCAAAATTTTGTTCAGAAATGTATTCCTTTTTGTGTGTAAAACACCCAGTGCTATGTCAAACAAAATTAAAGCACAAAAGTAATTTGTTTTAACAACAAATGTATTTTATATATCTTGGGTTAAATTTTATTTTGCCACAGAATACAATATGTGATTTGTGCTGTCCTTTGTCCCTATCATTCCTTGTTGATTTTTCCTCTTTTGTGTGTGTAATGCTGTTTGTTTCTATTAAAATCAATAAAAATACAAAAAGGGGAAAATGTGAGAAACAATGATTCATCATCCACTTAGAGAAAGATCTATAAACTACATTAAAATTTTATCTGGAAATATTTAAATATTATGGGCACAATCCAGAGGGAACTTCTCGTGTGAAAGCCCCTTTAAAATTAACAGGAGCTGCACAAAGGTTCTACCACACAGAGCTCATTTTAATGAAGCTTGTACAGGACTGCTTTCCAATGACGTGGCCCATTTTTAATTACTTCCACTTGTTTCTTGCATGTTCCTCAAAGTTGTGGACACTTAGTAACATGGCCCACAGGTCAATCCTATACATGTCTGCTCAGAACAACGTCCTGCTGAGTTAAAGGGGGATCACTCCCAGGTAAGCAACTATAGGATTAAAGCCTTAAAAACAGATAAACATGAAGCTGCCTTAGTCAGACCCTTTGAGTCGTCTAGCCCTGTATCGTCTTCCATGACCACCAAGGATTCTCCATGGCTACAAGTCGGAGACCAGCCCAGCTTGTCTACCAGGGAATCTCTGTAAGCAGAGCAGAAGACTGAACTTGGGACCTTCTGCATTTAAACCATGTGTCTCTTCCTGAACAAAATACAACAATAACCTCATGTATATGCCTAACAAGCCAACACCAGCCTCAGAATAAAGATCTTATAATGTTCCAGGAAGTTTTCAAAGGCTTGTCACGCTCCCACCCCCACCCCCCCTTGTGTGTGTTTTATTGTATTAATGTCTTTTGATTTGTTCTTAGCAGTTTCCAGTTTTCTTCCCCGAAATAAAAGTGGAAAAATTTAAATATATATAAATAAATACCCATGCTGGTTCCCCACCCAGCATCCTGGCTGCTGACACTGGCCTGAGGAGCAGCCATGTGTTCAGAAAGCCCACATGGTTTAGCCTCCAAATGTTATTGGAGTATTATGGTCATGGGAAAGTGGCAAGCACATCCTTTCCAGTAACATATGAACCATGCTTCAACATTTACCTCAGAAGTATGCAAATGGTTTGGAAATGTTATTAGTGAATACGAACTTGATTACGAAAACTGATTCCCTGCCCCTTTTTTCTTATCCTAACAAATTTATGATATTTCCACCCCTACCATCCCACTGAAAAACAATGATGAGTTTCTCCCTCTCCATGGTACTTCCGTGGATAATTCAGAACAGGTGTGCAGAGACTGCAGTATTATCACACATACGTACGTGTGTGTGTGTGTGCATATCTTTGCTCTAGGCTCTGGGAATGAAGCCCAGCAGAAGGCAACAGAGAAATGAATTACATCTCTCTTCATGTTATTTGAATTTCATGGTGTATACCGTGTGGGAAAATGGCTAGCATCCCTCAGAAAACCACAACAGGGTGACTCCATAGGGAGATTAAGTCATTACACTGTTTCAGTGATTACGGCACGGCTGCTTAAACGGCAATGCAAATTGGAAAACACTTCCCTGTTAACATTCATTGTAGGGAGATGGAAGCCTAGTGTTTCTATTGATGCTCTGTTTAATCAAATCTTATCTCCATTTTCATCACACTGTAAAGTGCCAGTATCTGTCAGAGCCCAATCAAGCACCAAGTACCGCTAACATGTTTTGCTTCGGAATAAAGGCATTTAAACAGATTGTAGAATTGTTTTAAAGTTCTCAATAAACTGAACAAAATACAAGACTTAGGAAGGAGGGAGGATGCCTTAGTCTCACAGACTGTTCAGTTCATCAGTGGCCCACCCATTCTGGAGTGTGATGTGGCTCTAAAGCTGCTTGTGTCTCCATTGTTTGTTTGAATGCATATTTATTTAATAAAATTCGTACTCTGCCTGATTGTACAAAATCTCAAAGCAGTTTACAAAAAGATAAAACAATAAAATTGAGGGGGGGGGGAATCACAGCCATACTTTAAAACAAAAATGTAAATACTAAAACATGCACACAGCTCAAGTCCATATGATTTGAAAGCGAATGAAATTATTCAAGTAATATAATGGTCTTGGTTACATATAATACTAAGCATGAACGAGCAAGTATACTGATGGCAGAGCAAAGAGTGCAATGGGTTCATTTCTTTCCCTAGGCCTGCTACAAGGAACTATGCCATGGTTTGGTTTAGTGCTACTGGAGAACCCAAGTATGTGGTTTCTTCTCCTTTAAAGAAACCACGAGGGGTAAACCAAGAACAAACCTTGGCTACAGTGCTTGGGATATTTGGAGTGAAAAAAACCATGAGTCCTGGTTCACACGCAATCCTAGGCCTAACCATGGCTGAGCTCCTTATAATGTGGCAGCAGTAGAATCAGGGGAGGAGCGGAGCGGCCATGATTTTTGCTCCATGGAACAGCATGCTTGCTTGTTTACACTAAGCCACAGGTTGATTTGCGTAGGGCTTGCCATCCTTTTTGGGCCTGTGGACGTAATTGCAAACTGGAGAAACCGCTGTGGGCACCACACACACTACAACCAAGTTCACACCATAACCTCATCTGAAGGTGACAATGTAATGCTTCTTTTAGGGGGGGAAGGGGACCTTCTAAGTGAAAGAGAAATGAGCACCCGCAGAATTGGACAAACTAACAGGGAAGATTCGATACCAGAGAGACCAAAAGTTCATCGAGGACTGGGGGAGATTTACAGATTATCTGAAAAGCATATGTGATGAACAGATAACGCTTGTTGGTTTTCAAGAGACTCTGTGAAAAATTAAGAAATATTGTAAAAAAGAGAGTAAGAAGGGAGAAGTGATATTTAAAGGCAATATTAAGTTTAGAAATGCGTTAACAATATAAATTTAAATGAAAGATTGGCAGAGAAACTGAGGGAAGTAAAAAAATCGACGAATGTGTGATAAAATGTGAATTGATTGTATAAAATTGTTTTGAAAATGAATAAAAATATTTTTTTAAAAAAAGAGAAATGAGCACCTACAGGCAACATATTGACCCCAGCTTAGTGTTACATTTGAACCAGGCCAACTCTGCATGTGGCAAAGTCGTTAGGAAAAAGGATTATAGTTGCTACTGAATTTAAACCTGACAAAATTTCAACTGAAATTTTAATAAGTTTGCTTTTGAGAAAAATCCCCCAAACTTCCATGTAAGCAAAAGCAGCGCCGATAATGCTTCAAAAATTTATCAGAAGGCAACCTGGGCACTTCTAGCTGGATCCCAAGTCAGAACCTGCATGTTTTCCCATTTGGCACTTACTCATATAAAGTCATTGAGAATCTCATTCATGTAATCAAACAACTAACTGAGCTGTCCAAGTACTGGGAGGACAAAACAATTTTTTTTTGCTTTCTGCATTGCAATGGACAGATGAAAACAAAACCAAGAAAGAATGTAGATGGACTACTGCATTGCTTTAAAATTACCCGAGAAAGACACTAAGGATGCATTACATTTGCCAAGAGAAAGAAAGAGTTGTGTTATGAATTGCCAGCACTGGCAAACAGTACAAGATGAAAGAGCACGTATATTCTATATTATATTGACTGGGGGTGGGAGTGGCTTTAGGTCAGTTCTCTGCCCTTTAGTTCTACTCATGATACATTCTGCAAGGGCTGGATAAGCAAGCCTTTCTCCTGGCAACAATACACAGTCGTGGAAGGAAGGCCTGCTTCCAGAATTTCAGGCATAAATGCATAGCTATAAAGGATGGGATGCCATCACTTCCTATTGCAAACTGTTGGCTATGGTAAAGGAGCAAGCCCATTAGCTCTCTCTGCTTTGGCCAGCTAATGGTTGCCTTCATGCTATCATTACAGAAACAACATTTTGACTGCCCTGAATTTATTGCCCTGAAGGTTTCTTCCAAGAGTGGTTTATAATTTGTTGAAGCCAGGATGTCTCATGAAATTAGATATATTCAGACACAGCAGAAAGTGATACAGGAACACACTTCAGTGGTTGGCTGCCCAAGAGCTCAACCCTTCAGGTTAACTTACATAGGCTGATGAAGAAAAACATGTGGCTGTCAGAGATGAACAAAACTTTCATCTCTAAAACACTGGAGGCATGCCAAAACCAGGTGGATGAGGAAATTGGGGATGGGAGGAAGTATAACCCCAATGGCAGATACTGGTGTGACCTTTTGTCAATAGAAAAATCAACCAATGCCACCTGCAAAATAATGTGTTTTACATTTACCTGCTGTAATGCTCTCCACCATTATACTTAGGTAAGATAGGTCAACAATAGTCCGTTACTCCAAGTCTGGGATGAATATTGGCTGACTGAAATCTTAGTAGAATTTAGAGCAGCATCATATATGTCTAACATGTTCTAGAATAACCTTAGCTTTGGCAAATGCATCTAACAGCTGGAGAGAGACACCTCCTTTTGCCCATGATAGTATTCCCTCTAGATTAGAGGTTGTAAGACAAGGGAGTCTCAGAAAACTACTAAGATCTCCATAAAGTGACATTTTTGAGAAGCCAGAAGCCACAAACCCCCAGTCTTAAGTACTTTTTAAATAACTCTTAGACCTATTTATATATGCTTCACCTCTCTTGAAAACTATATATGATGCACAATCCCATCAACAAAGCCTCTCTCAGGGAGGCAGCATCATCATGAGGTCACCATGGCCAGCCTCTCTCCTTCAGGGAGGCAGCATCATCATGAGGTCACAGTGGCCAGCCTCTCTCTTTCAGGGAGGCAGCATCATCATGAGGTCACCGTGGCCAGCCTCTCTCCTTCAGGGAGGCAGCATCATCATGAGGTCACAGTGGCCAGCCTCTCTCTTTCAGGGAGGCAGCATCATCATGAGGTCACCGTGGCCAGCCTCTCTCCTTCAGGGAGGCATCATCATCATGAGGTCACAGTGGCCAGTCTCTCTCCTTCAGGGAGGCAGCATCATCATGAGGTCACAGTGGCCAGCCTCTCTCCTTCAGGGAGGCAGCATCATCATGAGGTCACAGTGGCCAGCGTCTCTCTTTCAGGGAGGCAGCATCATCATGAGGTCACAGTGGCTTTTCTCTCTCCTTCAAGGAGGCAGCATCATCATGAGGTCACAGTGGCCAGCATCTCTCCTTTAAGGAGGCAGCATCATCACGAGGTCACAGTGGCCAGCGTCTCTCCTTCAAGGAGGCAGCATCATCACGAGGTCACAGTGGCCAGCGTCTCTCCTTGGCTTTTGGGACTCCACACTTTTCTTTCCTCGTGTGGCTACTGCTGCTGCCTCTATAGTTTGCTCCCACATGAGTCAAGTTATGTGTAAAGGATTCTATCTATGCAATTTCTCTTCCATACATGTTTTCAGAATATAGAAACCATGCATGTCTCAAGGGGCTGGGTACCATGTGCATTTTGTAAGTACACATGGAAGAAGAAGAAGAAGAAGAAGAAGAAGAAGAAGAAGAAGAGTAGCAGTAGTAGTTTGGACTTGATATCCTGCCTTTCACTCCCCTTAAGGAGTCTCAAAGCGGCTAACAATCTCCTTTTCCTTCCTCCCCCACAAGAAACACTCTGTGAGCTGAGTGAGGCTGAGAGACCTCAGAGAAGTGTGACTAGCCCAAGGTCACCCAGCAGCTGCATGTGGAGGAGCGGAGACGTGAACCCAGTTCACCAGATTACAAATCCACCCCATCTTAACCACTACACCATGCTGGAAAATACAGTGGTACCTCGGGTTACATACGCTTCAGGTTACAGACGCTTCAGGTTACAGACTCCGCTAACCCAGAAATCGTACCTCAGGTTAAGAACTTTGCTTCAGAATGAGAACAGAAATCGTGCTCCTGCAACGCGGTGGTAGAGGGAGGCCCCATTAGCTAAAGTGGTGCTTCAGGTTAAGAACAGTTTCAGGTTAAGAACGGACCTCCGGAATGAATTAAGTTCTTAACCCGAGGTACCACTGTAAACCATATGGGTGGAAACAGTCACTATGTAAGCAACTATGGAGGAGGTGGTAGCTGTGCAAGCTGAAGTGCATATGCAAAGGGCTGGGACACATTGTTAGAGGCAAGCTAGAGTGGCATTGCCATTCTGCCACCCTATTTGTAGGTAGCAAAATCACTGGTGGGATGGACACATTTTGGGATGGACACAAAATTCATTGTTGTTCTCAAACTGCTCCCTGGAGTTCTTCCAGGTGACCACCATTTCCTCCAAAAGCCCTCTGACACAAATGCTACACAATGATGTAGTGCTGCTCTGAAAGCGGCTTCTGGAGTAACAGGACATCCCTCCTACCTCCCCAAAAGATTACATCATCATGCAGCATTATGTTAGTGGGCAGTGCCGAATTTACATATAAGCTAAACAAGCTATAGCTTAGGGCCCCACTCTCTTGGAGCCCCACAAAAAAAAATTAAAGGGGGAAAAAAACTGGACGTACATTTCCAAAATATAAGATAAGTTCAGCAATTACTTTTATAAAATACATATTTTGTTATGTGCAAATGGCTTTAGATACCTATTAGGTTCATAAATTACCATATAGCGTATATTCAACACAAAAACAGCGACAATTTGTTGTTGACAAAAGACAGCTGGACATATAAAGGGCCCCATTACCTTCAGTAGCTTAGGGCCTCATCAAACCTAAATCCGGCCCTGCTAATGGGCTTTGGAAGAAAAAGTGGCTCTGGGGTGGGAGCATGAGGACAACGGTGAATTTCAACCATTCCTAAATCTCATCCCTAATGTTCTACACATGGAACATTCACATCAGTATTAGATTGCACTATTATATATATCATGCTGGCAGTGCCTGACACACTACTAAAATGTACATCTTAGTAAGGAACCCAAAGTTCACAATTACCTGGTTCAGATTGTAAATTTTGCCACCTTGCAATACTTGACTGACATCTGAATTGAGGGCCATTTATCTACAGTTTGGAATGCTAAACAAGCTTCTGTGCATGTATGGTCTGCTTTAGGTATGGCACTTAAACATCAGCTGCTTGGCAGCTCCATGCATGGAATTCCTCCACTCTCACCCCAACCTCAGCCTTAAATGAAACCCTCACTAATTGCTGTGAAAGTGAACTGTTTGAAATAGACAGATGTGTGTGCTTCCTCACTGGTTCTTAAGCTAGGCAAGCAGTTGCAAAACAGCGGCATCCATGGGTGCTATAAGTTCAAGCACTTGTTTATTTAAATGTTTATACCCTGCCTTCCTGCCCGAAAGGGCCACAGGGAAACAAAATGGCCTTTACTGTGTGCTGCAATGCCAGTAAGGAGAAGATCCATTGGGTCTCTTGAGGCAGGGATCACCACAAGCCACAAATGTAAAAGCCTTGTCCCAGGACTCCTCTGTGAATGGGCAAATTCAATGTGGGGAAAGGTAGTCCATTAAATATTCTGATCCCAACCATTAATAATAATAATAATAATAATAATAATAATAATAATTTTTTTTTATTTATATCCCACCCTCCCCAGCCGAAGCTGGGCTCAGGGCGGCTAACAACAATAAAATAAATAAATAAAACATTCTATAAATAAATAAATAAAAAATACAACATTCTAAAATCATTTCATTATAAAATTAATTCAAATCAAATTAATGGCAACCATTGGGCTAGAGTTCTGTGAAGATTGCCAAAGGAGGGAGTCAGGCTGTGCCCTGGCCAAAGGCCTGGTGGAACAGCTCTGTCTTGCAGGCCCTGCGGAAAGAGGTCAAGCCCCGCATTAAGAGCTTTGAATTAAGCTCAGGAAACAAACAACCAAACTGGAAGCCAGTGCAGACCGAATGGGCTCTAGCTCAAACCCTGTCAACAGCATTTGCACCAGCTGAAGTACAAGCAAGGCACCAGCAGCATGCATGCACCAACACTAGGAATCAAGAGAATTCTGGGATGGTAGGGACAATGGAAGTTTTCTGTAAGAACTCATCAAGCAAGTTCAGAAACACGGACAATTACTAGTTGAGCTGGTGGGGGTATGTGTTTCACATCTATAATATATTCTTGTTGAAGAGTATTATTTTAAAATAGATTGTAGATTTGAAAGGTTTGTGTCTCCTCCCATATATTATAAAAGACAGGTACTTTTCCATTTTGCTTAACAAAGTTTCTGTGAAACTAGAAAGTCTGCACACATTTTCATCTGTATAAATTGGTCCAATAAAGATGTCATGCACCCAAATCCATACTACTTGATTACAATTGGCAATTTATAAAAACAGCATAAAAGAATCCCTAAAAGGTACAGTAAGTCTTTACAATCATTCACGTAAGATAATGGATTCCATTTCGAAAGTAAAAATAAAGAACTGAAATAAGATCTCTGGATATTTTATTGTTCTCCTTGTGCATTAATGGTGTAGTTTAATATTTCCTGCACTTATCGATGGAACCTTGCATCTTCGAAATATAGGAAAGTTTAAACTCATGATTTCCTTTAATATCTCAAATTAGTTGGCTACCATTGCTTTATGGGGATTATTAATGCATCTGTTCTTGGCATTTTGCCCTACACCATTTGTCTTTGAGATCTTGCTCCAAATTCAATTTTTGCTGGATTTTAGTTACATAAAACTTCCAAAGAGCATTAACTCTTATTCTTCTTATAGGTTCCTGTTTCGGCATACAAAGGGCTTTGAAAAATGCACCCCTATTCATCAAACGACATACTTAATTTTAAATCCTGCTGGATGTAAGCACATCTTAAATTATTTAGTCATATGGTGGTAGTGGCCAGTTTGCATAAGTTACATACTGTTGGGATGTTATGGGAAAGTCTTTCAGTTACTCATAAATGATGCAGCACTACACTGCCAAATTGTTGTGTGTCTGAATGCACGTTTGGGGTCAATTTCAATATCCAATTGTATAAATTTAAATTGCTAAGCTACAATTGCCAATGGAAATTCATTAGTCATATTTTTTCCCCTTTTTTATTTAATAAAAACCCTCAGAATCTTCTAAGAACTAACTTCCATTTTTTCTACAAAATCCCATTGTTTTCCCCTCCAGGATGACTTACACGTGCTTTCCCATCAACCCTTTGAGGTAGATGACGTCTCTCACCCACCAAGATTATATAGTTAGCTGCATGGCTTAATTGGGTTTGAATCTAGCTTTCCCTGATCCAAGTCCAAAACTTACCATTAAATTCTAACTGTTACCATCATGATACCTCATGATGACTTTACCACAACAAAAACCAATTGTTGGATCCTGCTTTGCTGGCTGAAATATATTCCAGAATGGTACATGCGTGAGTCTTCTAAATCTTGCTTCCATCTTTTGTGTCATGCTTCAGCTCTGCTCAGTTCTGTGCCACATCTAACCCTGGACTAGCTGCTGGTAGAATGGAGTGTCTTTCCCTGTAGCAGCTGTGTGACATCCTGCCTTGGCTTATAAGTGCAGTGCATCATAATTGGCTGTTAGGAACACATTCTCTCCCCCCCCCAAGCCTTCTTTGGGCACATGCCAAAGGGAAGTTGTTGAACATCCTTCTTCTCATCTGTGCCTGGCTCTGCAGTATACGCACGGTCCCTCACAGATAGCCCAGTAAAGCCTTTTATTAGAAGTTCTGGAATCTTTAACAATCAGAATCATGGATGATACACTTCTCTTATGAGCCAAGCCATGATGTCACACAGGTACTTCAGGGAAGGAAAACTCCACTCTGTCACAAAGGGAATAAGGGGCAGGCAATAGGAAGCAATAGGAAGAAGTGAACAGAGATGGAACATAACGTGAAAGATGGAGTCAAGCCTTTGGAAGACAAAAATCTGTCCCTATGTAAGCTTTTCAGCAACATGGAGCCTCCAGATTGGCCAGTCCTGGGGTGAAGAATAGAAGCCTGGCCTTCTGCTCAACAGAGCACTATCTTCTAATTGCTACACACCAGTTTTACTAGCTCAAGCCATTATCAGGGGCCAAGTGTTGGAACCCACACTCCACAGTGCTGCTTCCCCAGCTGTCCCCAACAGTGAATTTGCACAGAGGTAAGTATCATAGAACTCTACCCTGTACATTGATTGTAGGCACAAAGAACCCATAGTTCAACTTTAATGGATGGTTCAAAGAGGTGAAATAACTGTCTTGGGGAGGAGGGAATCCCTCTACCATAAAACAAAGCAGGAACAACATTCCTTCCAGATGTGCAATAAGAAGTGAAAGTCACAGTATTCCCTAAGGATGTAAGAACGCTTAGAATTTCAAAGACCAATGCCAAGGAACGCCGCCAGATTCACTCCACAAAAAATGTTTGATGAATTACCACCACGAGCACTGACTTTGCAGATAAATGACTATGAGTAGACTACTTTTATGCCTCAGTGGAGGGGGATAAATTTCCCTTTTGTTTGAGAAGGGGAATGTTGTTGGCTATTCCTCTTTTCACCAAACTTAAAACACATTATTAGAATTTGTAGCATTCTAAATGCAATTTGAGGATATTTGAACAGCTTTAGATAAACAAAATGTATCATGACTTGTCCACTCTCTTGGGCTTGGAGCAGTAAATTACAAACAAAACAAAACTTATGCTTTCCTTGCCTGTGTGAGAAACTTCAATATTTTAAACTGGGAATCCCCAGAACTTAAGGTTAAGATTTAAGAAGTGAATTCAGGGGCCCTGCTCTCTTCTGAGTGTCTTGGGACCTCAGAAGGCCACAAATAACACAGAAGACCGTAAGAGGGGTGTACAACTGTGATTGGTAGGCATGATGAAAGTGAAGACCTTTTATTTCAGTCCTTGCCTGGTCAACCAAGCAGTATCATCTGCCTGCTACTTCCATCCATAGCTCAAGTTTCAGCAACGGATCTCATGGACCCTGGGGCTGGAAAACAGGGCTGTGAACAAAATGTAGCCACATTGTGCTTTTTCTCAGTTCAGATCTAAGTTGGCTTGGGGAAAACTCATCAAAACACAGTATTTCATAAGAAACAACAAAATGGATATGGACTGTAGCTAACATGTGTATACTACTTCCCAAACCAGTGGTAAAGTGCACTGAATACAGAGTAAACAGGAGTGTGTACATAGCTTAGGTGTATTTAGACTCATGAATAATTCCCCACAGCCCTGATATGGCTCTAATATCCAGTTCAGTAAATGAATTCCATACAAAAAACAAACAAATGCAAACAATATATGTTTTATTAAATCCTCCAAAGGCTTTCGTTAAAAATGTTTGGTGGGCATTCAGGAGTGCTTACCTAGTTGTGCAAAAAGAATCCTCTAAAACCTGCATGTGCCTTGGAAGTCACCTTCCTCTGTGTTATGACTACTAATATATGGATCAAATGGTGCCCTCTATACCACTAATGTCCAATGGATTTGTTTTGGAGAAACAGAGGAGCCAGGAGCATAAAGAACAGAGGCATCAGATGCATGCACAGCCCAACAAAGAGCATGTTGTCCCAAGGGCTGCTCAATCCATCACACTCTGTAGTTTGGGTAGCATGTGCACCGGCTTGCCAGCTCTTCTCTTTCTCCTTGCAGCAGCGGTGCATGGGAGCATAAAGGTACAGGATCGTCAGGGGTTGCACAGAGGGAGCCCATGTGCATCATGGGATGCAGTAGATGCTTTAAGCCACAGCCTCTGGGAATGAGAAGCACACATGTGGAGACATGGAACAAATGGCTCTTACCCATGTGGCAAAAAAGTACTCAGAAAAGCAGCAGTTACATTGTTTTGCCTACATGCGATTAAAAAAAATATGCTTGTATATTACACTCAGCAGAGATTACAAGATGACCACAGCTACCTCAGCTCTGAAGTATCTCCAACTCATAACTGATCAGTGTGTGGAGAATTGCCTCAAACTGGGAAGCAGACTCTTTAATGATGCCTGCCCCTTATTCCCTTTGTGAATATTTTCTGGAACCCTAAACCCCTTCAAAACAAATGAATTTTTATGTTTAAGAAATTCTTTTGGCAAAACCTGCATATGCTTATTACCACATTTCTTAACTGGCACAAAATCCAAGCAAAGTCTTGAGGTGCAAATGATATGCAGTCTATTTAACATCATGGCTATTTATTTTTATGGGCTCTCATTATTGCTCTTTACCCTAAATTATAGGTACATTCCTAGCTGCAGTTTCTCTGCTCTGCAAACTCCACAGTGCTTTCTTATTTAATTTCAAAATCATCCTTAATACCTAATTAGTCAAAAATGCAGTGCCACATATCCAAATGCTTAGAATGAAATGAAGAGACCATACTGGATTTCCCATCCCCTACCACAAAATGGGGCTCACTATGGTCCTAATTCAGCTCTAGCGTAAATGCAAACTGCAAAATAGCCTCAGTCTATTTTGTCAAACTCCTGATTGACTAAAAAAACATAAATCAAGATGGAGCTATGCAAACTCGTGAGCCATTTTGACTCTTATTTGTTGTCATAAGCTGAGGCAATAAACAGGTTTAGACATCACCCTAATAAGTTTCCTGTGCATTATTCACTTTCTTCTAAGTAAGTTAGGGTTGCCATATTTCAAAAAGTAAAAACCAGGACACCCCGAAAGTTGTTGAGCTTTTTGTACAAAAATGCCAAAACACCACGATTTTTTGATTGACTTGCCTAAGATACAGGACAAAGTGCCACCTTCCAGAAATTCCCCCCGGATGTCAATTCCACATTTGAAAGTCCGGTACAATGGTACCTCAGGTTACAGACACTTCAGGTTACAGACGTTTCAGGTTACAGACTCCGCTAACCCAGAAATAGTACCTCGGGTTAAGAACTTTGCTTCAGGATGAGAACAGAAATTGTGCAGCAGCGGCGCAGTGGGAGCGGGAGGCCCCATTAGCTAAAGTAGTGCTTCAGGTTAAGAACAGTTTCAGGTTAAGAACGGACCTCCGGAATGAATTAAGTTCTTAACCTGAGGTACCACTGTAATGTCTGGGAAAATCCAGATGTATGGCAGCCCTAAAATAAGTAGTGGGCTGTCATTACATAAAGAACATACTTTCGCACCCTGCTGGAACAGACCAAAGGCCTACCCAGTTTAGTATTCTGTTCTCACGCCGACCACCCAGATGCCTGTGGGAAGCCCACAAGCAGGACATGAGCAAAATAGCTTTCTGCTTCAGATTGCCCCTCAGCAGCTGGTATTCAGTGGCACAACACTGCAATAATTGAGGTAATACATGGCCATTGATAGCCTTACTCTCCATGAATTTGTCTAATCCCATTTTAAACCTGTCCAAGTTGATGGTCATCACTACTTCCTGTGGAATTCCATAGTTTAACTATACGCTGCATGAAGAGCCAAGATTAAGATTAAGCCATCAGAAGTGGCTATGTGGTGATTGTTATGTACTGAAGTTCTCACCCTGGGCCAGCAGGAGGATACTGTAGATAGTTTTCACTCAGGTCCACATATGCAAATAAGGGATTGAAAGTGACATTGAGTGATTGGATAGTTACAGAAAGTGGTTACTGTTGCGTTGTAGTGGAGCTCTATATAAGCAGGCTGGCTGAACCCTTCAGTTCAGTTCTGTTCTGGCCTGTGAAAAAACAGTTCTGGCCTGTTTGAAGAATCACTGTGTTGTCTGATATGTCCGCCCACAACTTAACACTGATATCACAATGCCAAATCAGAGCGAGGTCACTGCTTCCTGCTATCATTCTAAAAGGCAGCTTGTTTGGAGGCAAAACTGAAAACAGCAACAATGCGATGTATCTGTACACTTTTCCACAGAACATTGCCCCTTCATGCAAAGGGATGGGGAAGGAGATACAGCTCACCCACCTGTGAAGTTTCACGGGTCTTTTAACTACTTTGTAATATCTTTTAAAAAGCATCTTTGCCTACAAACTGGCATGTTTAAATACCACAATTCATATTTTATCATGGATTATGTGCTGAACTAGTTCTGTCAAGTTTACAACAGAATGTCATAATTTTGAGCAAAATCTAAGCACATGCATCTTTTTCTCCTCCATGGAAACAGTTTGACACACATGCCTATATCTCCTGTCACAGGAAATATCTATGAATATTCTGATAAACAGCCATTATGTTGCAGCACTTTGGAGCTATAACAAGCTTGAAAAAAAGAAATGACAGAACATCATAAACAATCGTGCAAAGCTTAATTGCTTTTTTAAAGAACTCTGCAAAAGTTTAATATGGACAATCTGAGCTTCAGCAAAAATGGAGGGAAAGTGAAACTTGCACTGATTCCACACTCACTGATTCCACATTATCTCTCATACTGTCACTGTATTTTGGAATGAGTCTGATAGAAAGCCAATGTTGCAAAGCTGGAGAAAAGAGTCTTACAATATCTAATATTTACTCCTCAACAAGGGAGTTTCATTAGCCTAGCTCAAGACTTGGGATGGGAGGAGCCGAATTCTAAGGCACTTTTGCTTGAGTTTTAAAGTTTGTGCCGTATTGTTGTGATGATGTTTCATGATACTTCTTGTCCTTTTATGCATATTTTGTAAGCCACTTTGAGATTGAGGGATGGGAAGCAAAACATACATTTGTGAATGAATGGATGGATGGATGGATGGATGAATGAATGAATATTTTATTTCACTGATCCTCTATAGATAACCTTTCCCAAACCATCAGTATAACAACATTCTACACTTCCAAGAGCCTCATCCAGCTCCTGCTGCCATTCACTAAATCTCGTCCCTTTTACCTCTCTGTGATTCCTCAACACCTATCTCCACTTTGTTCCCACAAATTTATTTCCAGACAGCAAATTCACACAATTGCCCTTGTTCCTGCATTATGATTGATTTCTGCAATCACTCCTATGGGGATGGCCACATGGAGGCAGCCTTGGGGATGGGTCCACAACATTTCCCATTCTTGGTCCACTGTGCAAACAGCATCTAGCTGTAGGTGTTGTTGCTGTTTCTTTTTAAATGCATCTTGTCATTTGGTGGGGATAACAACTTTGAGAACAACTAGCTCTAATGTCCAACTTACTGTGATGAGCTGCATGGGTGTACAAGGAAGAAGCGGGACCCTCAAATAAGGCACTAAGCTTGAACACCTGGATTTTCAGACACCAAAGGTACACATGGAACATTAGAACCCTGTTGGATCTGTTATCTGATTGGCCAAACAAGCCCACAGGAAGCCCACGAACAGCTCTTGAGTACAAAAGTGCTCTCCCCACTTGTGATGAATAACAACTGGTATTCAGAGGCAGACTGCTCCAAAAGTAGAGGCAAAGCATATACATTGTGTCTAATAGCCATTGATAGCCTTGTCCTCCATGAATTTGTCCAATCCCCCTTTAAAGCCTCCAAGCTTGTGGCCATCACTATGTCTTCTGGTAGCAAACTCCATAGTACTTCCTGTCCTGAATCTTCCAACATTAGTTTCATTGGATGACCCCAAGTTACAGTCTGAAAAAGTCCGCATCATGCATAATTTTATACAACATTATCATGCACCCTCTACCCTTCCTCACTGTTTCTCTAAACAACCTTGCTTCACAGGGGAGTTGATCCAATACCATGACCATTTTGGTTGTCTTTTCTGAACCTTTTCCAACTCTGAATTAACTGCAGATTAACTTTCTTTGTAAGAGTCCTCTTTAAAAACTGAGATTTTAACGCTGTTCACAAACCGTCCCGTAAATCATTACAAAATGGGGTAACTTGGAAATTGGCACAAACATGTCTCCATACAGTGTGAACTAGGGCCCAAGAACCGACTGAGCTGAACAAAGGGGGGTGGGGAATAGAGGCTGCTACTCACAGGGTTATTTTTGGCATGTTTTCTTTATAAAAGTGCTGCTTCATACAACCAACCAGTGGGCTGCTGTCAATCCCAAGTAGGAATTACACTGCTAGGATAATGTATGAAATAAGCCTATGACAGACTCATGAATTGTTAAGTTATTGTTACTTGTTTTTGTATTACAGGATTTTGGGGTAGATATTAGATACATTAGCTCCTGGTGGAACAATTCTCTGTGGATTTGTATAATATCACAGCTATGAATTCTACAGGTTAAATATGTGCAGTAGTACAGAAGTACTTTTCTTTGAAATAAAATCATTTCCCTCTCTCATTTTTCATCTGGAACTGTAAAACAAGCTATTTGTTTCCCTTTTTCACATACTTGAGTTAGCCTAAAACTCAAAGAACAATTCAGAACTGTTTCATTCACCTTCACATTTGCTGTGTGGATTCACAATTTTCATGGGGGTGGGATTATAGGCTACTACCAAGCGGCTTAAGGGTAGCTCCACATCTATTTGCCTGGCTCCGGGGTTACCAGGACACTCACAAACTACCAAGGAAATGTTGTGGCATGAAGCCTTTAGAAAAGGGGAACCTTGAAATAGCTACAAATGACTTTGTCTCTACCTAGTGAACTTAACAGCTGTCATGGACTTACTTGCATTCCATCTAGTAAAGAACCTTTAGGACAAGGGTGTGGAACAACACTTGTACATAAAGATGTATGTGCATTCTAAATGTTGTGCTCTGAATGTTTAGAATGATTTAAGTTTTCTTTTAAGACTGAGCAAGTACCATCATGGAACTGATGGAGCATGGGACTGTTTGATGTACCACCCACCACTGCAAATATCCTAAGTGGGGTGTAAATGTTTTAAACAAACAAACAAAGGTGTGTCCCCTTCCATAATCTCGCCGCTCCTTAAACAAAACAGATGGAAGTTTTTCTGTACCTTTGGGGTGGGTTGACAATACATCTATTCGCCTGTTTCTTTTATGTAATAAATGTATCAGAGAAAATAGTGTTTCTTTCATTAATACTGTGGTTTAAAAACAAAAGGTATTGTGAAGTGGACACTAAACAAAAATCCAGATATTGTTTTTTCCTAAATGAAATTCTCGGCTCTGGAACTGAGCATTATGCAGGTTTTGGAGAGAATGTATAAACATCTCCATTTGGCTTCATTGAAGTTTCCCACATTATATTTCTTATCCTTGGCAGATCCTATTTCTTACGTCAGTCATTAGACTGCACTAAATTGCCCTTGACTGAACCTGATGATCAGATGGGTGCCATATTTTTCTCTCTTCTTTTTTAAAACTTTTAATGCAAATTCCTATTGTAGCTCCATCCAATCCTCTAGTACTTATAAATATTTCTATTTAAAGGTAAAGGGACCCCTGACAGTTAAGTCCAGTCGCGAACGACTCTGGGGTTGCGGCGCTCATCTCGCTTTACTGGCCGAGGGAGCCGATGTTTGTCTGCAGACAGTTTTTCCGGGTCATGTGGCCAGCATGACTAAGCCGCTTCTGGCAAACCAGAGCAGCACACGGAAATGCTGTTTACCTTCCCGTCGGAGCAGTACCTATTTATCTACTTGCACTGCATGCTTTCGAACTGCTAGGTTGGCAGTAGCTGGAACCGAACAATGGGAGCTCAGCCCGTCGCAAGGCCTCGAACCTTCCGATCCAAGCGGCACAGTGGTTTAAACCTCAGCGCCACCCTTGTTCCATCCTTAATTCAGGTAAAGCTAGATAATTTAGATCCTAACTTCCAAATCTGCATGCAAAAAAATGAAAGTTGAGAAATTTGAGATATGTATTTTAATTTTTTTGAGTTTTCTGTTTGAAAGTTCAAGTTAATCTTTATGTACAAGATTCGAAAGCTTAACACTAAAACATTTGGATTACTCTTCATCAAACACAGATTACTGCTCAAAAATCGTATTGGATTTTGGACTTTCAACATCGATAGCATTAAATGTCAAAATTCTTGAGAGAGTGCAAAATGTATGCATACTTCTGTCTCAGCTTCACTTCCACCTCAAAGTGCCCTGCTTCTGCATCAAGTACAGAGCAATGAAATAAATCTCTTCTTATTTATCCCCACCATTGCATGAACCTCAGAAGGGAACAGTTTTCATAGTAGTTGGATCTTGTTCAGTTTTCTTGGTTTATCCTGCTAATTATACAAGGTGGATAAAAACTACAAAATCTCTTTAACTCGAGAAGTAACTCTAGCATTCTTGAGTTTCAAAACAGAGAGCTTAAACAACTAATATACGGATTCTTCCCCCTAGTGCTCACTAATGTGACGGAAAGTGTCTGTTTTCCCTAGTGGCACGTAAGTACTAAAATTGCACTGCATTGCATTTTGCTCTCAGCAGGCAGCAAAGTGCAGAGTCAATGAGTTATTTTCCATCCTTTCTTTCAGGTTTCTCCTGCCATGGGCTGGGGGTGGGGGTGGGGGTGCAGAGAATGAGGGTCTCAAGCGATTCCTCAAACCTGGCAGATACTTAAGAACCACCCCTGAGTTTAAAAACACTCTAAAAGATACCAATATCACCAGTTGTGCAAGAAAAGTGTGCTTCATTACAACGTCAATAGAGGCTTATTTTCACACAAAATCAATACTATCTGCAGCTCTCAAAGTTCATAAGATGACATTTCTTGAGAGTAACAAGAAGGGATCAAGTCCCCCCACCCCACCCACCCGCTACTTCTGCAGTTTGTGGAAGTAAACTATCATTCTCCAGCAGAAAATAAGGGTCTCTTTCTTGGCTTTTTGTGTGTGTGTGTTTCTTTCAGAACAGACAATTTGAGCACTCCTACCTACCACAGGAAGCATGAAACCAAGGGAGAATTGTCAGGGCCACTGGCCACAATCAATCCTGCTGTCTAACACAGCAAAATGCACAGGATGGGGGAAAAGAAAAAGATGAAAGATGCTTTGGAGGAAACTTTGATAAGCAAACATATCATTAGATCATGAATACAACCATTTATATCGCATAACATGTAAGCAAGACTCCACAACCACTCACTTTCTAGTATTAGAGGAGAATCAGAGATACCTCTCCCTCTCCAAAGACAGAAACACACACACACACACACACACACACACACACACACACCATGAAATGAATAACCTCTTTTGCCTTTTCGGAAGAAATGGCCACAGACTCAGGAATAGGGTTGCCAAGCTGCCCAGACTAGTATTGTAATGTAGTGTATTTAATCTACATTTAAAGTGGGACCTGCAACTAGAGGTGAATGGATTAGTCTTTCTCTAGTCCACATCAGTTTTACATGCGCTCAGTCATATATTCATTCTAACCCATTTTTTGTGGATTAAAAAAATGCACAGAAAATGTATTTAATTTGTACACATTTCACACACATTCCTCATTCAAAATACTCATTTTAAAAATGCTATCCCCTATAAAATGTGCATTTTTTTCTACAATGTACACATTTGGTGCCATTTTCTTTTTTTTACCGAAACTGCACCGTAAAATTTGGAGAAGTGCGTAGTCTGCACTTCTGCTGCATGTCTGCTGCATATACAAGTCTAGGACCAACCAATTAGGTAGGTTTGTTTTAAAACGTAGGCTAAATAAAAATTTCCTCTACCTCTACCTGTAACAAAATGTGCAGTGTGGAATACCCCTATTCAGATCTCCAGTCACTCCATTCCAGTCCACTCCCAAACAGCCTGTCGCCATTCCATGCCCACTGAGCATGCTCAGGCCCTAGGGCTTCGCCATTACATGCCACCCTGCCCCTTTTTGTGATGTTTTTGGGTCACTTCCTGGTTCAGCATGATGTGTATATCCGGTCATGTACATATTGAACCCACCTAAATGGGCGGGTTGCCTGTATCTCTTGTTAGTGGATGGTGCCATCTTGACTACATAAGGATAGGCATTCTAAAGACTCAGGTAGATTGGTAAAGAAAAAGTGATTTATATGTGTTGTAGATGCGATATAACATTGTGCCACCAGATGACACTGTAGAGTCCTGTTTTTGCCTACTGGATTTCCCTGTTTAAATTTACAACGCATTTAACTGAAACACTTCTTTGATGTGTCTAGATCCAGCCTAAGAATGTGCTATGTAATAAATGTCTTCCAAACACTTTGGAAGACAGTGAAGGAGAGAAGATTGCAGAGTAAACAGATATAGGATTCAGAAGGCAGAAAAGAGTATTTGTCAATCAGTAATGGTTGTGGGGAGGGAGAAGGCTCAGATCAGGAAGTGATCCTTGTGAGAATCAAGGTGGCACTTGCTATTTATTATTATTATTTATTAAATTTGTATACCGCCCTATACCCACAGATCTCAGGGCAGTTCACAACTAAGCATAGTGCCTATATTTTCATTTGTGAAATGTTGGTATGTATGCAGACTTTATCCCTGACCTACCAAGTTCCTGTCTCTGCCACCTGGCCTTGCCCAAGAGGCTAGTAGTTTGTCATCAATTGTTGGCAACCATACACAGGGGACCATTTAGGGAGGGCTGGTAGGGTAGTCACTCCATGGGTTTCAGAACACAGGACATTATTCTTTAGTGACACCTGTTGTGGCGATCACACAGGGTCCCCGGACGTTTCACCGTCTATTGATCCCTGTGCCACCACTTTATTTCTCGCTACCACCTCCCAGGCCCTACCTGGTAAAATACTGAGTCCAGCCAGGGTTAAATTAGAACATAATCTTCTGTTTATTTATTGCAGTTTAACAAGCGTGTGGTTTCATAAACAGTATCAATCAATTACAATCATGGGGTGCCTATCCAGACGTATACCTTCCGCTACCTGCTCTCACTCAATAAACCACCTCTCAGATATTTACTTGTCTTCCTAGCTCCTAACTGTTTCTGACTCAGCTTATTTCACTACACTAACTCAACTACCCACAGACTCTTTCCCAATTCACTCCCACTCCAACCAACCAACGAACTCTCCCTTCGCGCTTCCCAGAGCTGGTTTTATAGTCCCTCTGACTCCACCCCCTGGGTTCTGATTGGGTAACCAGTTTAACTATTTCACTTCCAGCACTCTCATATGTTAACGTCACACCTGTATCTCTGCCAAGTTCATTGTGCTCAATTCAGACATCACACCCAACCATGGTTTGTGCTAACCACAATTTATAATGCAAAGATGATTGACGCTTCCAAGCATACAATAGTATCTATTCATTTTATCTCAATACACCATTTGATACATTCATTCCTATCTTTATGGTACAGAATCTTACAGAATCTCTTGAGGCAGAATCTTAGCTGTAATCATGGCTTGACCATACACACGGGACAGCAAAGCATAGTTAGTGCAAATCATGATTTGCAAAACCACATAAAACAATAGTTTTACTTAAAACCATAATTTCCAGCTGTTTGTCAATTTAAAAATCACACCAAACAATCCTTAATCAGTTGTGTAGACCCCACTGGGAGAAGATTGGTATTGAACTTGACCTAAGTTAGAGTTTTCTGCAGTAGAAGCTTTATGTTCTAAAAATGAACTATCCCCCTTCATTCCTGGGTACAAATGTAATTCCTGTGTGCACACACGCATGCATGCAAGCAAGCACACACACAAACAAAAAACAAAACAACCACATCATTAGAAGTTGCTGTCAAGAAATCACAAGCAATATTAATTGTAACAGCTGTTTTTGAACTTTGAGGATGGATATTCAGATTCTAGGAATTATACCAGTCAGCTGTGAATTTTTTGTGTGATTGGCTATACTATCTTGTTATTTAATTCACACACATGTACACGCGCACACAGAGCCATTGGGTGGGTGTGGAAATGGAACCTGAATCTAGGTGGAAACCAGCTTTTGATGTTAGCTGGATTCTAGGAATAAAAGTTGCTCACAAATGACAATCAGAAATAAAAAATAAAAGGGCTAGTAAACTGGTCCTGTGGGTTAATAATCCCAATCTTCCATTAAAGATTAAATTAATGTGCATCCATGCTCCTTCACCTAAGTATAGAACCACTGTCCACTGAGAGAGTCAACTTTAGAACAAAAATCCAGAGACAGACTCCTGGGAATGTCCATGCTTTTAAAAATATTTCAGTCCCAACTTTTCCTCCTCTTTTTTCTTTTTCAAAAACCACCAATCTGATCATGCAGTTATTTTATAGCATCATTGGAACAAATACACAAACATCTGGAATCATGGGGTATATTTAATTTTAAAGGGTTCATTTGGCTGAAATGGTAAAATCATGAAAAATTGCCTGTCTACAAGCTTTGAAAAACCAGATGATGAAGCTGTTTGGCTACAGACATTTACAGTCAATTGAAATTTATTGAGGTGCACACCTGCTACAGTCTCCCTACACACTCATATAACACCCATCAGCCTTAATGATTAATTTTTTTGTGTACTAACTGCAGCTATTGTTTCAGTAAAAGGTACAGATTGCTCACCAGAGTTTAATTCCATGTATAGAGGCATGCTGTGGTTACTTAAGACTCCCCTATATGACGGCTGTTCTTGGAAAGAAAGACTAGTTTAGCCTAAATATTCTCAAACTGAGTGTTACTGAACAACCCCACTATTAGTCAAGAGACATTTTTAGCATAAGGTTACTTGGCATCCCCGTTTCCCGGGGACAGTCCCCGGATTTACAAATCAGACCCCATACAGAATCCATTGAAGTTGAAAAGTGTCGCTGGATTAATTGAAATTTTTTTGGTAACCTTATTTTAGCAGCCCTGCAGATGTTGTTGTACCGCAGTTCCCATCAGCCCCAGCCAGCATAGGTAACAGCCAGGGATGATGGGAGTTGTAGTCCTGGAACAACTGGTCAAAGGTTCTAAAATATGTTTATTCACTAATAGCTGCTCACCCCGGTTTCAGAGCCTCCCCAAGAATTAACAATATGAACCAAGAGCAGCAGCAAAAAAATCTGAAAGGGCAAGGAACAATCCACATCCCCACTCTACACACATCAAGAAGATAACATTTACCCCACAGCAACGCTGTGGTCTAAATCACTGAGCCTAGGGCTTGCCGATCAGAAGGTCGGCGGTTCGAATCCCCGCGACAGGGTGAGCTCCCATTGCTTGGTTCCAGCTCCTGCCAACCTAGCAGTTCGAAAGCACGTCAAAGTGCAAGTAGATAAATAAGTACCGATCTGGCGGGAAGGTAAATGGTGTTTCCGTGCACTGCTCTGGTTTTGCCAGAAGATGCTTAGTCATGGTGGCTATATGACCCAGAAAAACTGTCTGCGGACAAACATCGGCTCCCTCGGACAGTAAAGCAAGATGAGCACTGAAACCCCAAAGTTGTTCATGACTGAAATGTCAGGGGTTCTTTACTTTACTTTAGCAATGGTTCACTACATAAAGTGAATGAACTATGGTCCTTCCTGGCAATCACCCAAACTTGGGGAGACTCATCTCACTTTAGGACAGACCAGTCATGGGGGAATCAGAGTGGGTGAGTGCTGTTGAATTCATCTCCTGCTTTGGGGCTTTGCATGGTATGCCGCCATGAGAAGCAGAATGATGGACTAAATGGGCCTTTGGCTTGATCCAGAAGGACTCTTATACATGTGTGGAATAATAGCAAAATTACCATCTGAAGTGACATTCCTTATAGCATGTTTTGCCCTGTATCCAGTGTGAGGCTTCCAAAAATGCACTTTCAACCAACAAAAGTGAAAACACCCAAAAGATTAAGGTGGGGCATTGCTGGGGAAGGCATGGCATCTCTTTTTGTTCCAATGCATCTGTTGACTTGACCAAAAGATTGATTTCCAACCTTTTCCTTCCTTGCCAATGCTGTTTATTTAGCTTTGCAACTCATGTGATGAACACATGCTAGAGGCAGCTTTCTGCTTTAATATGCCTTCCTCATGGTCTAGGTACTTCCCCCACTCTTCTTCATCAGCAGGGCTACACAACAGTGACAGCGTCCTGAGCTTCTATGGCTGTCCTGAATGTCCACGAGAAATATTTCAGAAAGGGTTTCAAGAGGCCTAAAACGTTTTCCAAAATACACCTGAAATCATTATGTTTTGCATTGTTTCACTTGGTGCCATTTAAAAACAACAACAACCAAACACAGTGTTGTTCTTCCTGGCTATTATGATCCAGGAAAAGTAGAGAGCACATGATCAATATGGCATCAGGACACTATGCAGCCTTTCAGATGTGACTACAGGGTGACACCAATTTTAGGAGCACATAGGAATGAGGGAAATGCTTCTTGCTTTCATTCTGATTGTGAAAATCCTTTCATAGTCTGCCTGGAACTGTCACCAAAAAGGTACATACTTCACCAGAAGAGGAGAGGATGGTGTTTGTTTGTTTGTTTGTTTGTTTGTTTGTTTGCTTGCTAACTGCACTCACTCATGTCACCTCAACCTGAAACTTTATCCACTACACTTCTGCAGCATGGAAGAAATCCTGCAAGTCAGTCACTAATCTAAACATGTCGTATGAATTAAGACCTAGAAGAAGGTACTAACTCTAGCAAACTGCTTCAGAACCTTGGCATTCCAGTGTCTTTCATAGATAGTAACATGTGTTCGCCTCTTTCCCATATAATAGATAAGACACTGGAGTCATGAGCAGAGGGGAAATTCCTGTGCTGTGAAAACTCAGGGGCTATTCAAATGATACTTTCCCAATCTCACTTCTGTGTTGAGTGAGATAAGAAGCAAAACATGTCAAGTTCCTGCACTTTCCCACAAACTTATAACAATCCTATAATAATCCACTGCAATAATGGAGAGTGGCAATACAAGAATGGGCCTCTTCTGCAGTAGCTCCCCGTTTATCGAATGCCTACCCCAGGGTGGCTCGCCTGGCACTGTCATTACATATCTTTAGGTGCCAGGCAAAAACGTTTCTCTATAACCAGGCCTTTGGCTGATTAAACAATCTATGGCCTTTTAAATGTGTTGTGGGAGGTGGGGTATTGGTTTGCTCTTGTATTTTGTGTTCTCATTTTGTATTTTTGATAATAATAACAATAATTTGCAGCTCCTGCTTTTTCCTGCTGCTGTACCTAGTCCAGCAACACGTCTGTATACCACTAAATATAACTGTAAATCTTGCCATCTCCCACTACTTTATCAAATTGCTCTTGCACCTTAATCCTAATATTTTGTTAGCATTGCGTTCATTTTGTGGCAGTATGCACAATCTTGCACACTTAATTGTAAGTCTCAGGAAAGGTCCATTAACTTGCTTGGCAAGCGAATGCGGATCATCTCTTCCTTTTCTCAAAATGTCAAGACTCATGGCTGAAATTCAGGAAGGTAGATGACTTCACCAATTGAAAGCATTTTCCCACTTCAAATCTATTAACTGGTTTTCTTTCCCGAGTGCCTAAAGAAACATTTCATCCAAGCTCTCAGCAAAGCCTCTGAGAGAGTTTATGTACAATTCCGAGCTCGTTCACCCATCCCTCATTCCACATGACTTCCTGCTCCCATCATTATTATACACAAGACAGTGGTACATTTCTATGCCAAAGTTTTAACAGCCTACAGTATCCTGATAGAAATCCAACATTCCTTTGAAGCACAGACGAGAAATTGTTGAGCTTAGAAAGTGACAGCAACATGAATTCAGTGACCCTGATAAATGTATGTTTTGAACCATATTAAGTCAAGGGTCAGAATCAAAACTAACAGCAATGTATTAAACATTCAGTAACATCTGTGTGGTTCCTAAAAAAATGCAGGCACAGAAAACGACTCACACCATTGTTGTACAAGTAAAGGAAGCTCAGTTAAAGCTGGGTTCAAGCTAACAATTCATCCTGAGCATAGCATACTTACTACAAGATATGCAATATACGGCCAGGTGACTCAGCAGGAAAAGAGGAGAGAGGGAGGTGTGAATTGACTGGATTTCATAAGTCACCCAGTTTTTAACTAGCCCTTTTTTGCCTCTAGGTAAAATTCTTGTTTTCAGATACCATATTTTTCGCTCTATTGGACGCACTGGACCATAGGACGCACTGGACCATAGGAGGGGGAGAACAGTAAAAAAAATTTTTTTCTTGTTCTTCCCCTCTAAAACAAGGTGCATTCTGTGCGTTCAAGGTGCATTCACCCGAAGCCTCCGGAGCCCAGCGGGAATTCCCGCTGGGCTCCGGAGTCTTTGGGTTCCTTTCAACCTGCTCTTTGGCTTTGGGCCTAGCCCCGCAGCCTGCATTCACTCTATAGGACGCACACACATTTCCCCTTAATTTTTGGAGGGGGGAAAAGTGTGTCCTATAGAGCGAAAAATACGGTACTTATATGCTTTGTTACGTTTGGAGTGGCCTAATTTTGCTAAGGAAGTAATTCATGGAGGCTCATGTGACTGTCAAGCTGAAAGTCTGCATTAGATTTATCACTGGCTTATACTGTATTTTGTCATGCTGTTTTCAGTGGTTGTTGCAAATGGTTAAACCCTTGTTGTTTTATCAATAAATTATGTTTGGTTTCTTATGCGTACGATTGCTGAAGGGGCAAACTTTTGCCATTTCAGACTACAGGTGGGGACTCACATTATGGGGGGGGGTGCAAATCCATGCCCATAGAAAACTACCACCTCAGAGAGAAGGCTAAGCTAGAACACATCTCCCTGAAACCTACCATTTTTATGCAGAGAGTATTCTATAAATGGAAGAACACTCAGTCATGTGAGCAGCCTGAAGTGCTACAGCCCAGGCACAGGTTTAACAACCTCTATGAGAACTAGGCCATGGTGCAAGCAGACAAGCATCCACTCACTGCTTCAGACTGATATTGTATATAAGGTGGTGGGTTGGTAGTGTTTTTGCCATAAATTAAGCTGTGAAGCATGGAAGCAGACACGGAGGAACCCCTTTTTATTCCCACCACTCTGGGCATTATAAAGCTTCAGAACAAAAAGTGGTCCACAGCCAATATAGAGACTTCTAAACAAAGGGATAAAATAGTTGTAGCAATGGAAGAAAAAATATTATTTTAGCAGGGGAATTCTGAAATACAAGCTGAGACAAATGACAGGAGGGGTTGCATGCATGCACTGATGCTCTGTGAGAGCAAAGAACATGACACTGGGTGCAAATTTCAGGTTCCAAAGGATCTCGGCTTTCATTAAAAAAGAACAACACACAAAGATTGTCTTACACTTCGAAAGATGAAATACAGTAGGCAAGGCCTGTCGAAATCTCAAGACTGGATTAGGACATACACTGGATTGGAATGCACATTTTTACATGCGGCTGAAATGGTTAGAATTCGCATTCACTGCCCTGGTAACAAATGACGCAGAAAGCAGTTCAAATCACTTCTATGACACTCCTTAACATATACAAAGTGTCCCAAGGGTTGGGGATGAGACTTCTACTTCACTCCTACCCTACTATGAATGTGAGGAACTGTAGAATAATTGTGCAAAATTAAAATGCTTAGCAAATTTTATTGAGGGGGTGGAGATTCTGATGTCGGAAACCCTTCAGAAAATGAGATTGAGGACTCAGAAGCAGGAAGGCATGCAGGAGCAGGCAGGGCTAATTATTGGGTTGCAGCTTCAGACACTACATAGGACTCAGTCTCAGTTTGTTGTTGAAGAACAACCTGAGCTATTTGGCAAAAGAAGGGTTAAAGTGATAAGATCTGATTGCAAGACAGGAGAAACAGACCATAGAAAAGGAAATAGTTAGAACAAGTTCTACTAGCCAGAGTAGCAGCACAACGTGACATCTACACCTGGAGACATTGTGCAGTTTTCCACAGAGCTTTTTAAAGTCAAGATTATCTAAGCTCTTTTAAAAAAGTAGGAGATGATAAGGGAAAACACAGGAGGAGATGGGCATGTTTTGATCATGACATTATGTAGATGCCCCATAAAAAGTGAGTGAACAAATAACTCCCTTTCTATTCCACAGCGAATACCCAATGGGAAACTTCCTTGATGACTTCATGTCAATTTGTCTGCCATTTTGCAAGGTATTATTTTAGTGCACACAAAAAATGTAAATAAAGTGGTACCTGAGGTTACGGACGCTTCAGGTTACAGACTCCGCTAACCCAGAAATAGTACCTCGGGTTAAGAACTTTGCTTCAGGGTGAGAACAGAAATTGCACGGTGGCGCAGAAGCAGCAGCGGGAGGTCCCATTAGCTAAAGTGGTACCTCAGGTTAAGAACAGTTTCAGGTTAAGAATGGACCTCCAGAACGAATTAAGTTCTTAACCCGAGGTACCATTGTATACAACAGTAATGTGCAGGAAGAAATAGTCTGGTAAGACTGCTGGTTGAATGGATAAAGAAAATGCAAAGTTTATAACCTATGGCAAGCAAGCCATTCTAAGTACAGTGGTACCTCAGTTTAAGAACAGTCCTGTTTACAAACGATTCGGTTTACGAACTCCGCAAAACCAGAAGTAGTGCCCCGGTTTGCGAACTTTACCTCAGTCTAAGAATGGAACCCGAATGGTGGAAGGGCACTGGCAGTGGGAGGCCTCATTAGGGAAAGTATGCCTCGGTTTAAGAACAGTTTTGGTTTAAGAACTGACTTCCGGAACAGATTAAGTTTGTAAACCGAGGTACCAGTGTATATGTTTTACATTGGCCAAGGTGGAGCCAAGAAGTTAACACAAACACATTCTGACTCATACTGATAGCTTCTGAACTTGGAGAAGAAGTAGGAAAGAAGTAAAGCTTGGAAGGAAGCGATCTCCTTTACTAACAAGTAGTTACTGAACAGAGAAGGAATCCTTGAGGAATAAGAACAGGCTACTCTTCCTGTCAATCAACCCTCACATGTTCAGGTTATTGCAAGCACTATTGCTTTACTCCCAACAAAAATGGTTTGCTTGCTTGTGAGGATGGGGGTAAGCTCTCTGAAGTGTTGCAAATACACTATGGAAATCAACAAAACGAAAAACCTTGATATTCATAACCACTTCTGCCTGAAATGGAACTCCAATATATTTTAACCACTTACATTTCCCCCCTTATTCATCTCATTGCACCATATTAATTGCGTTAAAGCAAGCACTTCCTATTTATAGTCCATGATTAAACATATTTTATGATTCCTCAGGTTAACTAAATGATAAAAAAACTACCCACAGGGGTTTTTTTTTTTTAGATGGTTCACATTAAGAAGCTTCACACAGATATACAGAAAAATCAATTGCTAAGCATAAAGTGCAGCTCACATTAAGGAAACTACAAACTCTGACTAATTATGATAAGTTGCTATGTAAATTACTCTGTGACATTCCCAGCAATCAATTTCAAGTTTAAATAGATGAAGCCTCCGGCTGTAAACTGGGATAGGAACCTAACAACTGTATCAACCACCATCACCACAGTAAAGATTTGCAGTGATAGCATGAGCCAAATAATTACCTTTTGGGAAGCAAAAACTTATCTCTTTTTTATGCCAACATTTTTTAAAAAAGGAATTCAGTTTTGCAGTGTGGAAGAGGTACATTGTACCCAATGCACATCCTTTGAGCCTAGTCCATCCATACACCCCCATTTTAGCAGTGATGGGGACTTCTGCCACCCCGCCCCCCTGTGCTAACAAAAGTTTCTTTGAAACAAGATGGGTATCCCATTAGTCACCTTTCCCCATACAAGTCCCTGCAAAGATGGCACATCATCATTCCACTTGTGGCTGCATTTGGAAAGCTTGGAACTTCTGCTACGTGTTGAGGATGGGGGACTGCTTTTAAACTTCAAAGGTTTCTAAAACTTTAATTCACACCTGTGACAGAAAAGTCCTACAAAACCATGTTCTGTTCTACACAATGAACCAGGAGGCATGGATCAACTCAGTTTGCTGCATATTGCAGAGCAAAGACATCCCCCCAGCATCTCTTGACCCTGTTCATGTATAGGGGAAGTTACAGTTGTGTCATTTATTTACACTAAATCTCATTTGCCTTTTTATTGCTCATTTCCCCAGTTTAGAGAGATCCTTTTGTGTTGTTGTGTGCTTTTATCACCTGCAAATGTGGACTCAATTCTTACTCCTCTATTAGGAACAGATCCAACTGGGAACAGGTTACATGGCATTTATTTTTTGCCATCCACTTCTTGCTGCCCTGCCCTGTGAATAGTCATTGTCCTTCTAACCACTGCCTGTTCTTTAACCAGTTTATCAGGACACACACTCTTTATCTCATAACAGCTAAGTGAGGGGCTTTATCAAAAGCTTTTTGAAAGTCCGTCCAAGTACATAGTATCTAGTGGAAGAGCCCATCTACATGTTTTTGACAGACTAGGGAACAACTCTAGGACTAGTGACGCACGACAAAATTCATGAAGACTAAATATTGCTGAAGACTTTCAATTTTTTTGCAGCAGTAAGAAACAGGAACAAGCAAACAAAGGAGAAACAATTCATCCTTTTAAGTCAATGTCTATTTTAACTAAGATTCCATACAGTTTACTTTGCTTGATCAAGAAACACTAATCATTCTTGATCAAGAAGCACTTTATTTTCTTTCTCCTGCAGAGTATCCCTGCGATAAAGCAGTAGGTACCATAGTTGAAGATGAGGTATAGGAGGCTAATGTACATGGAACCTTTACAAGTTTTAACAAGGTCGCTGGTTACTTCAGCAATTAACCTTCTGCCTGTACATTTAAAGAAAAATGGCATTTCACTATTTCTTCTTACAGCAGAATTACTGTAACAGAATTGCTGATAAATATCAGAGCTTGCACAATGAAATTTCTCCATGTTCAAATGCAACAAATTCTTCCCATTCTTTTGTGCACAACATATGCACTTAAACCCCTGCAAAAAGCTGAAACTTGGTAGGGGGAAAAATGGACATTTCAAAAGATTCACCAGTTTGGATTTAGCTCACTGTTTCTAATGCCATGAGATAATAGGGGAAGGGAGCATCATGGTAGAGGACATACCTACCAGGCCGAGATGACTATAGGTAAAAGCTAAAGGTAAAGGACGCCTGGACGGTTAAGTCCAGTCAAAGGTGACTCTGTAGGTACGGTGCTCATCTCTCTCCAGGCTGAGTGAGCCGGCATTTGTCCAGCTGTTCTAGGTCATGTGGCCAGCATGACTAAATCGCTTCTGGCGCAACAGAACACCGTGACAAGTGCCAGAATGCATGGAAATGCCATTTACCTTCCTTGCCGCAGTGGTACCTATTTATTTACTTGCACTGGTGTGCTTTCGAACTGCTAGGTTGGCAGGAGCTGGGACAGAGCAACAGGAGCTCACCCCATTGCATGGATTTGAACCACCAACCTTCTGATCAGCAAGCCCAAGAGGCTCAGTGGTTTAGACCACAGCGCCACCCGTGTCCCCAAGATCACTATGCAGTAGTCCGAGTTTATTGTCAAAAAGAAAGCAATAGGCATCTTTAAATGGTCAGAAACATTAGTTCTTTTCAGCATTTATACATAGAATATGCTGAAGGGAAGCGGGGATACATGGCTAGTCAATTCCCAGTGTCAGCAAGCCCTTCTGGCATGCCCCCAACACCTGTATGTTTGAAAAGGCTTCCAAATGCTCCCACTTTTGTACATGAACAATTGAGGTTCCCAGTGGAGAGGAATACCTTACAAGCACTGCGCATAGCATAGCTATGACTGCCTGCCTACCTGCCTCCAGCAGCATCTGAAATTTAGTCCTCAGGCATGCAGTTCTTGAGAGTTCTCCCTGTCACCACCTTCACTCTGGTAAATTAACTTAGGGAAAGGAGGGAGGAGTAGCAGAAAGACAGCCTCTTGGTGTTATCATGCTCCTAGTGATATCACTGAAATCCATTTGCAGTAGGGAGTTTAATAGAAATAAATTTGGAATGAGGACCTGATGTATAATAATTAGGTGAAAATAATTAGTTTTAATCAGTTCCATTCAGAAATGGGTTGGGGACAATTCACCAAATTGCTTCCAAAGCTCCCCTTTTTAAAAAATGGGATTTCATTTGGCATGGGGAGAGGTCCTGTGTTCAGGAAGCAAACATTTAAACTGCTTGGGCACATAGTTGCTGGTTCTTTGGATCTAGGACAAAGATTGCAAACTAAGCTGAGTAGGAAAAGCATAGCTTCTGTCATATTTTTTCCTTTGTTCTAAACGAAGGAAAAAATGAAGTGGAAATTGTGAAAATGTAGCCAAACACAGATGAGTTGGTTCTGTTTTTCCTCTTTTTGAGCCCCAAGCAGAGTTAATTTACAGCTGCCTTAAGTTGCTCACAAGAGATTCAGTCTTGTAAACAAGCCCCTCTGGAGATGAACAAAGGCAGTGGTCATTCTCTCCCTTAGCTTGAGGCTGCAAAGAATTCCCGAAAAGCTGCCAATATTTACATATGCAATAGCTGATTCAATCTTTTATGTGAGACTGAGACCATTCAGGGAATAGAAAAACCTTAGGAGTGAGATTCCAAAATGGCATGTTTATGTGTTTCATTCTTTTCTTGGTACACTCTTGACTCCAATTAGGTTTTGTGAGCTCAGAGAACTTCTTTGCATTCTAAAGAAAAAGTTGATGGCTCACATACAGTGTTCCAGCAAGATGTTCCAAACTCAATTCACAACACCTGGATTTCTGGAAAACATCCCTTAATTACTATTTCCTTGAGGATATATACACGTTAACTGTCAAAATGAGCCAATGGTATCTTACTAAGAGCCAGTTTTACCCGACCCTTGGATAATTTCCCCCCTCCTTATTCACACAGGGTGAAATCTGGCCAAACTTAAATATTTTTAACTTCATCTCAGACCTGCTTAGCAACTTCCCACTGAAATCTCAGGGACTTGAAACTTTGACTGAATTGCCTCCTTCTCCCTGCCCACATGGCTATGCAATTCAGCTTGAAATACAGAGAAGAATACTCACTGGTTTGAACATTTATAAAAAAATGTATCTTTAACTCTTCATAGGAGGGTTCTAACAGGGGTTACAAAATGAGAACATTCTGATTTTGTATTGGCTCCATTTATATGCTGTATAAATAAAAATAGTGCACTGCATAGCCCCGCCCCACAACACAAGTCCCTATTTGGTAAGGCTACCTTGTCGATACATGACTCAAATTCTCCCTTCGAGGAATCTATTGTATTATGCTTTCTGCAGAAGTGTGCTACTCTTCTGTTTATTTTATCCCAACGGCAACAATGCACTCCCCCCTGTTGTTCTTTGTTCCTTTATTGTTTGTCTTGTTTGTATATATATTTTTTAAAATCTAGCAAAATGAATCATCACAAGCTATAAACCGTTTAAAAACTACCAACTCTCGGGGTAGATTTACAAGTAGATTTATTTTTTTAAACTACTTGTATCTATCATCCATCTTTCCCGAAGCTAAACTAAAGCACAACTAAGTAGTTTCTTATCTATTAATAGTATCTCCCTCAAAAGGCCTTCAAAATCTTTATGCACTTCCTCAAATGGTGTAAACTCTCCTCAGAGCCTCAGCTTTCCTTACTAATGTGTGCTCAGTTTTCAGTAATTGATAAAATGGCAGTCTGAAATTCATCTAATCAAGTTAAGGATGTTTGTCTTATCAAAATAAAGAGCTACATGTACCATAGCGTCTAAGACAATGAAGCTCACAATTTCAATCTGCCATTAACTCGCCGAGAGGCCTAAGGCAAGCCACACTGACTTAGTTTGCCCTCCGATACTTGGTGAATAATAGTTGTCCACCTAGCAGTTTTGACTGCAACACCATGAATAAGAAACACTTTGAAAAATAACCCATGGATGAATACAGATGACCAACTTACCAAGTGGTAAATGATGGTATGTTTGCCCATATCTTAGTAGCTAAAGTTCAATGAAATAGACAGCCATGGCTGGCTCTGTAGGATTCCGCAGTTCCTGTAGTTCTACCCCTATTCACTTACTCTGTTGCTATGGAGTTTCTTGAATCAGTTGCCAGGAGCAACTTCACATCATTGGCTCCATGTTCTCTCCTGCAGCCCTTACAGATGCATCAGCACCCTACTCAGGTTGCAACAATTTATAGCAGTCAAACTACATATGGACGGCCACAGGTTCCCTATTGCTATCACAAAGCATGACTATAGTTCTTTGTCTGGTATATTTAGTCACTTACTTTACAGGACTACCACGAGAAAGGAGACAAGATTGGAAACCTGCATAATGAACAACTAAGGCTACAATCCAAAACCACAACCCACCATGCTGGAGTGAGGGGTGGGGGTAAATGGGGCAAAAGTCTCCCTTCATGCAGCCCTACGCCACTCTAGTGGCCTCACTCCTGAGGTGGAAATCTTCCCTTTCTACCTGCCAAAAGAGCATCCCATGGAAATCAGCAAGACAGGACATTTTACAGAGTGACTAAGTCAGTACTGGATCCATTGGATTTCCAGCTGACCTCACTGTCAACACTTGATGATATCAGGCCTGACCTAGGCTGGCATAACATGGAACAAAGTTTTGCCTGCACCCCACCCTTCTGCCCCGACCATTCAAAATACTTCCTTTACTGCAACTGTTCATCTCTTTCCTTTTTATATGAATACAGCATTTTTAGTTTTCAATGACCTGTGAGATAGATAGATAGATAGATAGATAGATAAGATCCCTACCCTTTAATGGTAAACAGAATGGTAAGAAGAAGCAAATGCCAAGTAAATGTGTACTAAAGTAATAGTAAATCACAACATGAACTGTTAATTGGAAAATAAACATATTTTAGTATTTTTATCATTTACAGATTTTTTTAAAAAAAATAAGGGGAGAATTCAGTTGTCAATTTAGCAATATGTAACATAATTGTTGTTGAAGCTGAAGCAAATGTTATTTAATAGATTATCTCCCAGTAGAGTACCTGTAAGGCTTGTTGAAATCTGTTAAAAACTAATTTTGCCAAATACATTGCTCTTCTCAATATCTCAAAAGTTTGGTGCATTGTCTCCAGGGTGCCTACAGAGAGGTAGTAAAGTCTAATGGCTTTACAGTGAAGTTTTCCCCCTCACAGTTGTGAATGACAATAGTTCCTTTGTGTGTGTGTGTCCATGTGTGTATTGTGGTTCTTTTCTTTCTTACCTCTGTGGTTGGTGAGGTCCCTTGATCCAGTTGGCAGAGGTGTATAGCTCATCTGAGGAGAAATGGAGGCAGCATCAGTTGTTGCCTGGGGGGAAGAAAGATAAATATAATTGATGCTAGTATGTATATTTCATTAAGAGGATACACTCACACATGTACACACAATGCAAAGTACAATATTAGAGATAAAATTAATTTTGCCATGTACCCAGAACTTTGATTGGATTTGGGAAAACGTAACTTTCAAGTGACTGACATGGTGAGCCAACTCTTGTTCACTTTTTAGGTTTTAATTGTTTTCATGTCTTGACTGTACCACTTCAGGCTGCAGGCAGGGGTTGATGTGATGGTATGCTCCCCCCCCCCCCCCCAAGCAGAAGCAAGCTGTTAAACCATGCTTTGAAACTTGCCCCAGGAGTACTGAAGTCTTTATATCACCCACCATCCCACCTGAACACTAAAATGGCACTCTGGCAATCTGTAAGTCAGCTCCAGGAAATGGGGTCTGAAGCAGGCTTGATTTGAAGAGCATTACGGTATGCTGCCCAGAGGGTATCAGCACAACCAGCTTCCACATACCTTCACAAGCTACCTATGGAGAGAGCTCCACCTCTACCAGCTGCAGCTTTGACCACTGGATGTGGCCATCCTGCCTTGTAAGCAAGATTAACTACTCTCAAAATCCAAACTACATGGAATATATTAAGTAAAATAAACTATAAGAGGCGAGTATTAGTTTTTAAACAATAAATCTCAAACTCTGTTATGGAACATACTTAACTGTCCCATAACAACTGGAATATCAAATAAACCTATAAACCTTGCAATAACAGGTCTAAATTAATTTTGAAACAACCAAGCACACATTTAATTATTTCCTACTGGAGGGTGAGGAATTTTAGGCCTTACTATATTTGCGACTAGGCATTCTAGGAAGCAGTAGCTTTGCTATTACTAAATGTTACTTTTTCAAAAGCAAGAGACAGGTCTTATTTGTAAATCTGTATTATTCTAACATATATTACTTTAAAACATGTTTTAATATTAGGCCAACTTTTGTAGCATATTAGGCCAACTGCTGTAGCAGTACATTCCGACAGGAGTTACAAGTTGAGTTCAGAGCAACTAAACCCAGGTAACTACTCACAGAAAGATAATTACAGCTACTGATCATTAAACCCATCTCAACTTAAAGTGTGAAAGGATGCATTTTGATCTAAAGAAGACACACTTTTTTTTGTTTTTGTTCTGTAGGCGAAAGACTAAACCTACAGAGGAAGAATTGCACATGCTAACTGGCACAACCAACATGGCTCTTTCCCTGTTTTTAATGCTGAAATTTAAATTGTTGTTAATCTGCCCTGAGACCTACTGGTGAAAGACAGGTAATTGTTGTTGTTGTTGACCATTGTATGGCACCAGTCCAAAAGCTGGCAATTACTCAAAGCAGGCAGGGGTGTAGGAAGTGGTCCATTTTGTCTCCTCCACTTGGTGACATGCACACATCATCGGGAGCGGGCCAAGCACTTAGCCCAGGACCATGTGGCTTCAATGCGGCTCCTCCTCTCTTGTGCTCAGGAGGAAAGCTGTGCTGTGCTCAGCCTCCTCAAGATTCGGGTCTCTGCCCTGTCCCAAAATACATGGGGCTGGGGCTGGAGACACCTCAGCCCTATAGAGTTGGCACCTAGGTCTTTTGCTAAATCTGGATTAACTTTATGAATGTCACTCAACCAAAGCAAATGGACCATACTACATTTTCCAGTAATGCTGGCTACTTCCTGCCCTCCAATATTTCACAGATGAAAACAAAGATATCCTTCTGCAGTTGCAGTACCCCTCTCCCCGTTCAAACATGAAAGATCACTCTTACACCTAGGCCTTCACTACATCTAATTTTACACATAGCTGAAGACTTATCTCTGCCTGATGTCTGCTATACAGTATTCATTTACTCTGAAACTATTTCAGTGTGCCCTAACTTCTGAAGCAGGTGTGTTAGTGACCCAACAAAACCAGACTGGTTTTCTTTATTTGTAGTTGTACACATTTTGAAACCATTTATCCTACGATTGGGCTCTCTAGGGGGGGTTGTTTGCTTGCTTGCTTAATTTATTACATTTATATACCACCCTATACTTGCAGGGCTCAGGACGGTTTACAAAATAAAATCAAAATATAAAACCAAACAGTCCATAATAAAAATAAAAACAACAACCCAATAACCTCCCCCCCCCCCAAATCCACATTTTAAAAGATCATAGGATGTCAATCAAATCAGCCAAAGGCCTCGTTAAAAAGGAATGTTTTTGCCTGGTGCCTAATGTTTGAATTCACTATTCACCTGATTGAGCTTATTCTAGTATAGCAGTGAGTCAAGGACATTGAGCAGCATTTACTACCTGGATAGCCCTGTGGGGAAGAAGGAAGGCATGTTGGAAAAACACCCTGGGGTGCCCCTGCAGCCCCCAAACTCCAAGCGTCCTCCGGTATGCCCAGCTCTGGAAAAGGCATTCCCCTTCTTCTCCAGTGCGCTTCAGCGACATATACCAACTGGTATATGCACACTAATCTTCTAGCGTAACACAGCAAGAAGAATGAGACATCGCAGAGCTAATCTACATATTTATTTACACACTACATACAGACAAAGGAATCAATGCGTCCTTTCTCTCCCGCTCCGAGAGAACAGACAGGATGCAAGCAAAAGCAAAAGTAAAAGTACAGTATAACAGTACACATAGCGGAAGAGACAAGACTATCTTTCGTTCCCACACTCTTCCCAGACAGGCATGTGAATTACACCAATCACATCTGCAGCATCGGAGGCATGAAATACTAACAGGGTGCACACAAGTGTGCACACAGGAATATCTTCTAAAGGAATCTGCAATATCTTCCCAAAGTATTAAGTATAAGAAGCATTTAGTAGTATGGACTGGCCCTAGCAAAAAGGGAGCGACAGTTGAAACATGTGCTTATCTTCACCTTTAGCAACCAAGGTAAATATAAGACATTCAGCCCATTCCGGCTTTGGACAGCTCCAGCAGACAAGTCTGATGTTTTCAGTGACTCTGAAACGGTATGCAAAGCACAGGTGCATACACTACACTATATTTTGACTTTGTCTGCAAATCTAGGTAGTATGTTTAAGCTTTTGTCACTTATTTAAAGAATGACCTACAAACCCCCACCCCACCCCCCAGTTTCTCCAATGGATAAAAAAAGATGATGCGGCTCCATTTTAGACATTTCAGATATTTTCTGTCTGCACAAGGGCTCTTAGTTGAAACCCTGATAATAGCAAAGATTTCTCTTCGGTACTTTTAATCTCAATTTAGGCTGTTGACAGTTTGATGATAGCTTTTCTTAAAATTACTGGAAGGAAACTCTGCCTTTTCAGCAAATACCACTGACAGATCAAAATTCAAGAACTTCCAAAAAGGATACTGGTGTGAAGGGACAATTTAGCTTTATTTTCCATGTTAAGAAAAGGAAGAACAGAAGGGTTTCAGATAGGTCTTTTCGTGCTCTTCTGTGCATAATTCCCTGTCAAGGGTACAAGAGGCTCATTACCTCCACACTAAGTGTTCTGTTACAAATGCTAGTTAATTCTGCATCAGGACTATTTTGCACAAGTGGTGACTGGCTGAAAAATTCCAATAATGTGAATAAAGTCTGTGTAAAAGGAAAAAAAGGAAAAAAGAGTGTCAATCGTTTCTCATTTTTAACTACTGAATGACACCATGCCCTTACCAATTTTCCAAAAGTGAATTGTAAAGAATTATGATTCTTTAATATTTGCCACAATATTTTGATACTGAAAGGATTGATGTGCGACAGCTCATGTCTACAGATAGTTCTGACAGTCATATCTGAAGTTTCAGTTACAGTGCAAAAAATGACCTTGAATGGATCTTGCTGACAGATACAAAAAAGAAAGAGAAACAAAAATGAAGATATTTCTCCTGCCTAAGAGAAAACTGGCAAATTGTTTCCAGTGTGAATGTGTTAGCTACTGTCCCTGCCAACCACCATTCCATATTTATTCCAGACAAACTGAATTAATTTACCAAATGTACTTAAGACACCCAGAAAACATACTATTGATTAGCTTCATATCGTTTGCTGCTATTCTCGTGCCACCTCCAGTAAGTAATGGAAAGGAGGGATCAATTGAACAGTCTGATCCATGTCCTGAAGCAGGGGTGGGAAACATTTTCCAGCCTGAGAGCCACATTAATTCATGAGTAGCCTTCTAGGAGCCACATACTGTGGTGGGAGGGCCAGATACAAACATGGATGGAAAAACACCTCTCCATCCTTCTTTCAGGCAAGCAAGAGCACTACATTACAGCCAGATGAAAACACTTAAGTGTGGTCTCTGGGAATGGATGTGACATAGAAAGTCTCAGGGGCAAAACAGAGAAGTCTGGAAGACAGCACTTGCCCTCTCATCCTTAGGTTCCCCACCTCTGAGCTAGTGCAGCAGTGGGGAAGCTCTGTCTCCTAGGTCTGATTAGTCCTGCCAAGCCTTGGAGGTTGGTCAACTTGCAAAGGAGGAACCAGGACTGCACCAGGAAACTGGGCATCAAGGGACCCACCCTAAACATAGTGCATAGATGTGTGAGTGTTCATGATCCAAGATCTTGGTGCAGCTTTTTGTCCATACAACAGGCAATGGACAGCTTGAAGATCACATCAAGATCACAACTTCCAAGGTGTAGTACAGGGTGATGATAGAACTGGCTTGTCATGCTCTGGCATGACAAAAAGC